AAATTTTAATAAAAATAAATTTTAAAATATGCTTGCACATGATCGATTCTTATTGGTCGATCCAAGTGCTCACGTGAGCACGTGATATCGACCTAGGCCGGCGGTCGGCGAATCACGTGATCCGAAAAATTTCACCTACATCCTGTATCATTTTATTAAGAAGGCCACAGTACTATAATAATATTAAAATAGAATGCAACTTTGATAAGCTAAAAATAATAATTTTAAAACCTGGTTAGGTTTAGGCTGCAAAAAATTTTGTCTAAGTCTTTATTCTTAATATTCTTTGAATATAAAATTCATATATAATTTCTTTCATATAAATTTTCTCATAAAGAGATTCAATTGAGTTTTAATAAAGTTAGAAATATAGCCTTACCTTAAAATTTTTTAAAAAAATTTATAATCTGGTCTAGTATTGAATTCGGATGTTCTATAGAATAGATAAGCAAACTCCGCCAACTCTGCAACTTCGATATTAAAAAATTAATAATTATTAATCATTAGTGAAGCTTATTTCTTATATTGCTCACCTATTCTATAGAATATCCTTAAATTCTAATAAGAATATATATAAAATATATAATATGTTTTTAAATAATATAGCAAATATAAGAGTTAATATAATAGATATTATATGTGATAAAGCCATTTTTCAAAAACTTAAAATTATGAAAATCAAAATTTACTGTTAATATTATATTCAGACAGTAGTATACTTTAAAAGATATATATCAAGTCTTAATTGTAGCTTTTTCTGAATATGAAATTTTTAATATAACAGTTCAACTTGGTATTTAGTATTTAGAAAATATGAAAAGAGATCTGATTATCATACATCTTGTACTATATTTGAATTAATATAAACAGTTATCAGAATTGCAATTCATTATTATTTGCAAAATACAAAAAACTATTGATGATATTAAAGATAATTCTAATAATACTTTAAAAGTTTGGTTAAATTATTATCAATAAGCTAATTATTAGAAAATACACAAAATTAGAATTTAAAGAGAAAACTTTAATTTACAAATTATATGTCTTGCTATATTTGCATCACTTTTTTCAATTATTAGCAAGTTTAAATATGCAGAGTCAATTGTTATTTTTTTAGAAAAATTGTATAAAACCTTTAATTTCAAAAAAGATTATATCAAGTATTATTTATTAATATTTCATATGAAAGATACTATTTAGTATATAATAAAGTATTAGAAATATAGTGTAAAGTTTGTTAAACAAGTAATGACAAGAAGATTTGGAGATGAAAAAAACTTATATTAACAAATACAAAGAAGTTAAGATAAAATTGAATAATTAAAAATTTTGATAAATTTATTGATCAAGTAATAGATATCGAAGACTATATACACCAAATTAATGTAAATAATTATGATTTTTAAGTAAACAAATATATAATATATTTCAAAATCCAGATTCTAATATTTATTCTCTTTTTAAATATACAACTTAAAATACTTTATAAGGATATTTTAAAATAGAAACTTGTTATAAGCATAGAATAGAATATATGCAAAATCTTCTTGTATAAGAAGTTTCTTAAAAAAGAGTACAAAAAAAAAGCAGCTAAATACTTAGTTAAAGATACTTTTAAAACAAAGAAAAAAAGTTCAAAAACAAAAAAAAGAAAAAATAATCAAGATGAAGATGAATAAACAATAAAATTATTATAGATGCCATATCATACTAATTGAAAAATCTTTTTGTATATTTTTTATATAAATGTTGTAAGTAAAAATAAAATTATAATTAGGTTCAGAATTCATTTAAATTAGAGCAAAATAATTATACTAAAAATTCTATTCTAATCTTAAAAATTCTAAATCAACTTAAATTTGTTCTTATCTATAATATAAATATCTAGGTAAAAAGAGAAAATTTCATTAATTATAATTTAATTTGTGAATTAAAAGTCCTTATTAATAAAAAAAATTAAATTAGCTAAAAATAAAATAAAATAAGTTGCTATTAATTTTTCTGCCAAATTTTTATAAATCTGTAACAAAAAAATATCTTAATTTTTATATAATATAAAATAATAACTACTTTAAAAAAATAATAATTAATTTAAGTTACTTATTTTTAATCTTGCACTTATCTAATATAACTAGGGATACATTGGTCCTGAAAAAGACCGGTCCAGGACCGGTCCCAGACCGGGACCGATAAGGACCGTGGGATTGTTGAAGGACCGGTCCAGGACCGGTCCTGTTGTAAACAAACTGTGATATTCGTATCACCCAATCAAATTGCTTGATCAGGTGTAACACAAATCATATGATGTTGTTTACATCCAACATTAAGTAATTACGTCATTTTTAACCAATAAAATCTAATGCATTTAAGATATGACATAGCCATTGAAGGACCGGTTTGGGACCGAGAACGGACCGGACCGATACTGAAAATACTATAATAACGGTCCCACTAGAACCGGGACCGGACCGGACCGGACTGATGCATCCCTAAATATAACCTACCTTATCTCTAGCTAATCCTATTTATATAACTTTTTTATATATTTGTTTTCTATTAAACATATATATTAGGAAAATAAATATAATACAGATCTGTAAAGATCTGCTATCCTGTAAAAAAATAACAAATTTTACAATATCCTGTAACTTAGTAATTGAAATTTAATAATTTTGATACCATTTGATTTGTCTTCATAAGACAGATTGAATAGTACCAAAATTGTTGAATTTCGAACTAGATTATGAGATATTTGCATTTAAGTAGTTTTTGTAAACACTTATATAACTCACTATCTAGTAGTTCAAATTTAATGATTTTGGTATCATTCGATTTCTCTCAATGAAATGGTTCAAATAGTATTAAAAACATTAAAATCTGATTATAAGTTGATGAAATATTTGCAAAAAATGGCTTAAAATTTGGGCCAAGAATAAACTAGTTCTAGCTGTAGGTATTCATGTAATCCATTTAAATAATGTAACGCATAAAGACCGAGGCCAGGCCTCACTCTTAAAAAAAAAAGATTAGGCTTAAAATTATGTCCTTTTAGCATAAAATTTTTAAGTTAATTTCTATTAATACTTCCGGGTTAGTTTTTTAATATTTTTTAGTCAAAAAAGTTTATAAAATTTTATAATTAAAAATTAAAATCCAAGCGGGTGGGTCACTTTTAAAATTTTATATTATGAGAACTTTGTACGGCCTTATTATGTAAAAATTTCATATAGTTTGTAAAAAAATTAAGCTCCGTCATATATATAAATATAAAAAGCAGAAGTAAATAGAAAGTTATTCAAATTTCATAAAATCCCAATGACATATTATTCCAAAAACTTTCTTAAAACACAAATATCATTTTTTCTAACACTAATATAATAAAATATATGTGACCCAAAGATGAGAAAATGTTAAAATTAGAAGTGAATTTGAGTAGGGTTTAAAATTTGGGATTTTATCAGATTTGATCATAGTTTAATATTTGGAACTTACAGCTATTCGAATATGATCTTCCACTTTATATATTTTTGGGCATTTGAAGATTTGCAATTTGGACGGGGCCTATAAACATGTCCTATGACTGGTATAAATAAACGGAAATATTTATTCGCGCGAATTAAAATGCACATCATTGCTCATGATGTAAGACCGTGCTCAGAATAATTCAAAAAGATTTAATCAAAAAATATAAATAATTTAACAAGTATGGACTTAAACACGATTTACAATTATGCAAAATAAAAGATAATTTAATCAGTATTTTATTAACTCTTTTCCTCCGATTGACCAGTTTTGGAGTGCCTTCGCCTCTTAACGTCCCAATTATAGACACGTGCAATGTCTGTAAAAGAATCGAGAATTAAGGAATAACAATACAGCAAAAACGAGATAATTTTTATCCGAAATTTTGATGTATAATAGGATACTAACTTCCATTGTGGTAATCTGCTCTCTCATAAATTCCAAATCTTCTATAACAAAATCAAGTGTACTTTGGGCAGTTGACAATTTTGTTTCAAGAAGTTCCTTTGCTTCTTGCAATTCATATTCCAGCATTACATTAGCCTATAAAACAGGGATTAATAGATGTAAAGATAAGATTGGAAATTAGAGCTATGGGCTAGATTTTTTAAAATTTACCCCAAGCCATAAATAGACGGTTTTTGTCGACTTGACTTTAGCAGCGGCCCACAACGTATCATTCAGTTCAAAAGTAGTCTCTATCGATTCATCAGAATCCTATTAAATAAATTAAAATATAAATAAAAGTATCATATAATGCCTATACGGATTGAATTAATTATTACCTGCATTGATATCAAAAATTCCACAACTGTTAAAGTTTTTTTAATTTCAGGTATTCTAGTTTCAAGGCCTTTCTTTCGGTTCATATAATTGAATTCCATAAATTTGTACTTGCTGGATTAATTGCAAGAAATAGACGAATGGTTGACAGAATTCTTAAAGCAACTAAATAATCATGACGCATTATACCTTGACAAAGTAAGAAAATGGAATGCTCACGCTACAGTTTCTTGAAATTTACCCAAGGTAGCCTCAATGGATGAAGATGTCTTAGACATGAAATCATCAACATTTTCCTGGTCATGAATTTACAAATATAACGAATCCATTAATTTTTTTAAAAAACGCGCAAGATAGTAATGCTTAAACGCGAATTCGTTAAGTAATAAGTTAATACTATACAACAAATTGGACTTTTGGGATTCCTCTAGGGTTCGTCACCAGTTCTTCCGCTGAATCACTGCTAGATTTCTCAATTTGGCGCGTCGACATTTAAATTTTAACGGTAGAAAAAGATGCACTAACAAATAGGAGATATCCGGATTAATAAAAATCGACAAATCACGGGCATTGTGCATCTAACAGGCCGCCCAAATCTCAAACTATATCGATATATTATAGTTTGGGGTTTGTCCACCAAATTCTGGCCAAAACCAATATCTCAAAAACTTTATTATATTTTCATAGCTATGTATATTATAATACAGTATATATATTATATAGTAAAATATCAAGATCATTTTTTTGATTTAATGTTTTGTAAAGAGCAATTGTATTTTTGGGTTTGGGATTTGTCCGGGTTTTGCCAGCAAGTATACATCAACAAGTTGTTTTTTTATAAACTTTATGTAGCTCTATAAAGTTATATAAATATTTTATAAAATTTTTATATAGGGTTACAAACACAATGTAAACTTATATAATAAGAATTTTTATATGTAAACTATGTAATTTTTATATATAATTTTATTTATTTATATCTTATTAATAAAAATAATTTGTAATAGTTATATCCTGGGCAGTTGGGGCTGAAAGTTCCGCTTATACACACAGTGCCCAGGGTATAACTGATTTATGCCCTGCGATCTTGATATAGTAACCAGGGTATAAAATTTACTTCAGTCATTTCTCAAAAGTGACTAAGTAAAAATGTTTAGCATGCTCGAAAAACCTTCTCCAAACCCCTAATCTTTAAAATCTAATCCTAGATTTTAAAATTTTTTTGCTATTTTACATAATTATACATAGAAATATACTGTATATAGATTTATATAAATATATATATAGATATGTAAATCTACATAGTTTTTGTAGTTACATGAAAATTTTACATAAAAATTTTATATAATTCTAAATAAAACAACTTTGTGATGTAGACAGGATGTAAAATCCTCTGCTCTGAACAAATGAAATGTTACGTATCAAGATTTTTTAGCCATGCACCCTAGACATAAACCTAACTTTAATTATTTTGCTGTGCCACAATCAAATAGTGCATGCGTTGTGTAACACTTATTCCAACTACAGTTAACAATTATTCTTATAGTGATGTGATTATATACTGAGGCCAGTAAGTAGATAAGTATGACTCAAAAGCTAAATTATATGCATCTCTACTGGCAATATAAGAAAGCCAAAAATAACAAAAAATAAAATAAAAATAATTAATAAAGCATCATTTTTTCAGTCTTTATTGAGCAATAAAAATATACAAACTAAAAAAAAAATTTTGCAGCAGAAATTCAAATGATGATTACTAATATATAGATTTAACTATTATATACAATATAATAATAATAAATCATATGCATCTATTAAATTATATCTTCAATGTTGTCAAGTGTTTCTATACCGTCACCTTTATCATTATCGTGATAAAAATCTGTGCTTTGTAAAAGAATATTAGGAATTCTTCCATCTCTGATTAGCCTAATCCACTTGGTTATACGTTTTGTGGCTCTCATTGAAAAAACTTCTGCAATGAATGATTCCTATTCTATATTTTCTGCACTACTAAGATGCATCATTGTAATACCACTCTGAAAAAAGATTTTGATATTAATATAAAGTGCAAGGTATTTTAAACATATTGCATCATATCGCAAGCAATATTCATGCTTTTTTCATACATTCAAACTGGGACCTTTCATTCTGTCAACAATATAGTTTAGAATTATTTTCTATTTGTTTTTTCAACCAGTTGTAGGTATAGCAGTAAGAGCGAGTTTTGCACATTCACAGTATATATATGCATACATGTATGCCACCTCTAATTGTATAGCATCAGTAATATTGAGAATGGTTTTGCTTGACTCAATTTTTTTTCCAAGGCTATAATGACAACACTTACAGAATTATTATCAGCAATTGGAGTTATTCTAGTAAACAAGTTGTCAGTAGCAGTAATAAATCTTTGAGTATCTTCATTATTGAAATGAGATACAAAATCTAGCAAATCTGAAAATTCTAGCATTGTCACAGGCTGCTCCATTGTGTTAATAATTTGAATATGCTGTTCTGTTGACATTAGTTTCTCTAAACGTTTGATAACTTTTCTGAATGTCAGAACATTTGATGTTTATTGACGTTTCATATAATGTTTCTTTCTTCATTGTTAGGACTATGCATCTCATCTTCAAAACTTATTGCCTATAAATATAGAATTAGTTACAATGTACTATATTTACAATATACTACTATAATTTTTGGCAAATATTTTAGTACTCCTTATTAAAAACTCTCAACTTTATACTCTTTAGATTATCTATACAATTGCATGCACTTTAGAGGTAATAAATATATAAGGGGGTTGCGAGTACTAAGTAATATTCTTAGGGGAAGAGGGGGTATAGATCTCTTACATGAAGGAGGAGTCAGCTACTATTAAAATTATACTATGTAATATTTGTAACCCCCTAAGTAAATTATAATATCTATTTTAGTTATTCATTAATTTGAGCAGTACTGGAGTAATTGTTAATTCTGAGATTATAATGGATCCTGATACTATTTGTCGAAAATTACAGTATATAACTATATTTTTTGAATCCTACTTACTTGAGTCTCACTCACTTGAGTTCCACTTACTGGAATCCCATCTACTTCTTCATTAGTTCCATTCATATTAATTCTTGTTCGAATTATAATATGAAGACCAGTATAAGTTTTATCATAATGTCATTTTCAATGACAACCTTGGACATGATAGGAATCATGGCCATTATTAGAGTATTTTTGTAGAATGGTATTGTTTCTGTTCAATAGTTCTAAATTAATTAAATCATCGATATATTTCTGGTTACTACTGTATAAATTATTAATGATACTAGTAATTGGTTCTAAATCACTTTGATTCAATGACTCATCTTAGCCACCAGTGTATAAGTCATCAATAATATTAGTAATTAGTTCTAAATCGCTTTGATTCGATGACTCATTCTGGTCTCCAGTGTATAAGTCATTGATGATACTAGTTTTATTCCCTTCTGGAATGGATAAAGATGGAGTAATGATAGAAATTAAATCTTGGTTGCTATTACTTTGGGTGGTATCAAACATATTAACAATATTTATGATATCACCTTTAATTAAACCTATATTTTTTTTAAGGCTGTCTAAAGTTTGAAGAACAATTTTCATTTCCTCCTCTAATTTTAAAAGGTTGTTTCTCTTAAAATATTAATATTATTATATATTAATAACCAGGTAATATAGGTTTTTGCTTTAAAAATGACTTCTTATTTTTTCAAAACAAAAAACTTATATATAATTATTAGTTATGATAAAAAGTAGAATATCTTGTTTCGTTCTTTAATGATAAAATCCCAATAATTTTGTATATCACACCTGATTGTTATTGAATCTTTCTGTTGTAAAAATATTTATTATTTTATTAATAACAATAGGTTTAATAAAACATAGAATAATTAGACTATCAATGTTATTTTAGCTATGATATAAAAGTCATAATAGAAAGGTTATCAATCTATATAAATTTTTATTTGTTTTTTAATCAGATTAAACTATATAATATATCTGAAATCATATTTTACTGCAATATTTTTTGTAAAATTGCATCTTATAAAATCTTCTTAAAATTGTAGTAATTATATTTGGAGGTTTGATATACCTTTGCTCTCAAACCAGTAGGATCCAATTTCTTTGCTAATAATGTAAATCTTTTATTCCAAGTTCCACTTAAAATAGCCTATTTATCACCAAATGGTGAAGAAGTAACTATCATATTTCTATGAATTTTTAAAAATTCATAATAAGAATAATCAATTGTTTCTTTCAAATAGGTTAAAAGATCTAAATTGATTAAGTAAATTAAAAACAAAAAAGATTTTGAATTACAAATTTGCATATAAAACCTACTAGAATAACCAGGGTAAAATTCTAAAGTGCTCATTTTGGATAAGAACAAAGTATAACAAATAAAAAAAGAAAATGATTTTATATAATTAGGTTAATAGATAGAATAAAAATCTGATTGGTAAATTACATCTGTACATATTTCACATGTTCATGTATTATTTATTTTGTTGTATAATTTTGTGTAACAAACAAGAAATAAACAAATAAACAAATAAACATAGAATAAACTATAAAAACCCATTCTCAATTTCTAGATACTCCCTCGATTTTAGCTTTTAAACAAATTTTGTTTTGATATATTTTGATAGTAATATACGGTACTAACTTTATTATTATAATATAATCGTTACTTTAAACACCAAAGACTCTTAATCAACTAATATGACTAAAATAATTTAAGGTATAGTCATGTTTCATATAATAATTATATAAAGTAGCGATTATAGAGATATTACTATATTTGGATTCTAAGCACTGGCTCGAGAGTTCTTATAGCTGCTAAGTAATAGTAGTATTTCTGGTTAGAATTTTGCCATGATCAGAATACAAATAATGCTATTACAAAAATATTAGCAGCTATATTTACTTGCGAGGGGTCTATATAAGAACCTACACAAGAGTACTTATAGCTCTAAGCATTAGTATGTATTTCTGGTTAGAGTTACGCCATGATCAGTATACAATTATCTACTAATGCAAAGTATTAGCTGCTATATTTACTTAAGGGTATTAGCAAAAAGTTTACTGTTTACTGTTCTGGAAGAGGATTAGTTAAGTAAATAGCTTAGTTGCTAATTAAAGAAATAATATCTTCGTCAGTAGATACACACGAAACAAGCATTGCAAAAAATAGTCCTGGTTTAAACTCAATTAAAATTCTGATATTTGGATTTTTGTATATCGGTATGACAAATTTTGTAATGTCCACAATACTCGTGAATCTTATATACTTTTTCTTGTACAAAAAAAAATAAGTAAACATTATCGCTATGTTTTTTTTTTAATTTGTAAATCGTGTCAAATGTTTAATTTTCGATGTTACAAACGTTTAAAACATAAAATAGAAAGCCTTCTGTTATTAAGTCTAACACGAAAGAAAATTCGATAGATACATTACTCTTTCACTTTGAATTGATAATTATAAATTTCATAGATAATTTCTTTAAGTAGAGGGTTTTGGTATCCGATTTCGAATAAAATAAGTGCCGTATTTACATTAAAGCGTGTTATTCATAAATCCTATTTATTAATATATAACTTATTTACATAATCATTTACCGGTAAACATTTATTAAAAGAAAGCCAATTTTATTAACGTATGTGTCTATTTAATCTTCTGAGTCGGGAGTTTAGAATAGAAGAAGAATCTTTTAAACTTCCACTTATTTTTAATAATTTTTCAAATCTGTATAGTGCAAACCATTTCTTTTTTTTTTGTGATTTTTTAAAAACGGTGCAAGTCGATTGATAATCAACCAATCAAAATCATTTTTTTATAGAATTTAAAAATGGTAAATATTGCGGGAGTGAAATAAATTTGGCTTTTTTATAATATATAATTTAATATGGAACGCAGGTTCCCAAAATTTTATTATTATAAAAAAATTTATTAATGGTCATCACTTAGGACACACCAATAAATTATGTACTGTACAAGACACCCGCTATCACGTGATAAACTGTTGATTTGTATTGTATGCCTGAGAATATTATTTGTAAAAAGTTATATTACTTATCATTATTATTAAATTACCCATTAATTTGTACCCAGAAATCTTGCAAGCACACTTTAAAATCGTAATCAGTACAACTCAAGGATACTATCGATGTAAACTTAATTAAATTTGAATATTATAGTTTTATAATTTATAAAGATTGCATGATGTCATAATTCAATTTAGGAATTATAAAAGCAAAAATTAAATTTGGAATTATAAAAACAAAAATTAAATTTGGAATTGTTAAAAGAAAAAATGTATGCACGTACTGTACATACGTACCGTATAGCGCTGCATATAGTAACTGGGTATTATTCAAGAAAGCCGGCCTAGATTGAAAAATATTAGAAAATACAAAGAATTGTTACTGATCAATATTATACCTTGCTATTAGAATAGCAAACCCAATTAAAAGATCGCTCTATTAATTATGAACATTGGGCCAAAATCGATAGTGGGGATACTATTCCAGGAGTACTATATGCAGCGTTATACGGTACGTACGTACGTACGTACGTGATAATTTTAACGGAGATGATGTATCATATTAATATGGTAGCATAATGTTAACAACAATAATACGTACGTACGTACGTACGCAAAATTAATTTCTTACAATTTCGGATATTATCGATCTTATTAAAGCGATTTGCTATTTCCACCATGGATATTCAGACTATAGTCAGAATTAGGGTTAGGGACAGGGGTCAGATTTTATAGCGTTAGTTATTTATGGTGAAAATAGAAAATTACCATGGTGGAAATAGTAATTCCCTTATTGAATTATCACTTGAAACTGACGGTCAATTGCAAATTAATATGTTCGCTCACAACAATAATATAAAACACTCAAATTTGTTGGGAACATGGATTATAATACGGAAGATTTAATAAATAGAATGTTCGAAATGAACAGTGAATATGATTTATAATTATATAGATTAGAAATTTATAATGATTCTGATTTAATGAATTTATAAAGCAGTAGCGTTAGATCCACGTTAGATTGATTGATCTGTAATAACTGCTCGATACGTAAGTATCGAGGCAGTGTTTGTCTCGAATCAACCCGGGTTCAGGCATGTGACATGCCCTG